TCTGGAGAACAACCAGCTGGCTAACTGACTAGAAGAGCTCTATATTTGTTCCCATTCCAAAGAAAGATAACTGACATCATGGAGAAATTATAGAACAATACCACTGATATCACATGCAAGCAAGATTCTGCTGAAGATTATCCAAAAATGATTGGAACAGCACACTAACAGAACTGTTTGAAGAGCAGGCTGGGTTTAGAAGAGGCTGTGGTACTAGGGATATTATAGCTAAAGTCAGATGGATTTTGACTGAGAGCAGAGAGTACCAGAGGAATGTCTATCTGTGATTCATTGACTATGCAAAGGCATTTGACTGAGTAGATCACAAAAAAAACCAACTGTGACTAACTGAGAAGAATGGGAATCCCAGAATAGGTGATTGTTCTCATGTGAAGCCTATACTTGAATCAGGAGGCAGTCATTAGGACAGAGCAAGCAAACACTACTACATGGTTCAAAATTTGGAAGGGTTTATGCCAGGGATGTGTCCTATCTCTATATCTTTTCAATCTATATGCAGAACAGGAGGCTGGGCTCTATGAGAAGGAATGTGGCATCAGGATTGGAGGAAGACTCATCAACAATCTGCATTATTCAGACAACAACCAGACGACAACTCTGCTTGCTGAAACTGAGGAGGACCTGAAGCGCTTGCTGCAAAAGATCAAAGACTGCAGCCTTCAATGTTGATTGAAGCTCAAAATCAAGAAAACAAAGAAACTGCTGTTGGAGGGATTTTAAAATGGTATAACCATACTGGAAACCAGTTTGATGCTTCCTCAAAAAGCTGAACATAGACATTCCATATGATTCAGCTATTATACTATTTGGACTATACCCTGAGAAAATGAGAACTAAGGCACAAACTGAGATTTGTACACTAATGTTCATAGGAGCATTATTCACCATTGCAAGAACATGGAAACAGCCCAAATGTCCAACCACAAACGAATGGACCGAGAAATAACATTCACACAATGAAATACTATGCAGCACACAGGAGCAATGATTTTGTAAATCATTACCTAATTTGGGAGGGACTGGAGAGTGTTATCCTGGGTGAACTAACTCAGTCTCACAAGGATAACTATTGTATAACACTATTATTGTAGAATGAGTATAAGGATCTAAGAGGGGTGGGAGAGTTGGAAGCAGACGGATAAGAATGTACAGGGGTAGGGAGGATTAATCATGGGCTTGTACAAGTTGATGGGGGGCAGGGTGAGAGAAACTGAAAGAATTTGTTCTTAAAAACAGTGTATTCTAATTTTGTAAATAAAGTAGTAGAAAATTTAAAAAAAGGTGGGGAGGGAAGAAAACAAAGATTCTCATCAATGTCCATTTGCCTGCATCAGGCTAGATGGTGAAGACATTGAGATTATTAACAGCTTTAGTTTGCTTGGCTCCACAATCAACACTCTTGGTACCAGTAACCAGGAAATTAAAAGACAAATTGCATTGGGGAAGTCTGCTGTCAAAGACCTCTCCAAAGTACTGAAGAGAAACAATGGCACTCAAGAGACTAAGGTGAGTGTGATCAGGCCACAGTCTTTGCAATTACTTGTTATGCTTCAGAAAGCTGAAGAATGGCTAGCGATGATAGGAGAATTGATGCCTTTAAGCTGCGGTACTGGAGAAGAGTATCAAATATACCATGGACTGCTAGAAGAACAAACAAGTTTGTCTTGGAGAGGGTGAAGTAAGGCTGCTCCTTGGAGGCAAGTATTCTGAAGCTTCATCTGACATACTTTGGACATGTTGCAAGGCAGGACCTCTCCTTGGAGAGGGACATTAGGCTTGGGAAGATGGTGGGACAATGCAAGAGAGGAAGTCACGCGATGAGAAGGATTGATTCAGTGACTGGCATAATGGGGGAAGATGTGTCAGGGACAATAAGATTGGCACAGGATAGAGCAGAGTTTATGGCTATTGTACATAGGGTCAGTATGAGTCGCAGGTGACTCGATGGTACATAACAACAAAACAACATGTTAACACTCAGGATATAGCTTTAGAAAGGACAGAATCTTGTTTTGTTGTTGTTTTTTACCTTTGACTCAGAACGGACCTAAAACTGACTCCTCAAGTAGGTTTTCAGAGACTCTCAATCACACCCAAGTGACTGCCCATCTTATAGAGCAAGTGGTAGATTTGAACTGCAGGCCCTTAGGATTACAGTGCAGATGCCTCTTTCTTCCCCTTGGTCCTGTGGTCTTGGCTTCTGCCTTGCTATGGCACATTTTACAAAGCTCCTTTAGCTCTGCCAACTGTGTATTACCCCTGCTCTACCAGTTAGCTCAGGCTCAAAGGTAGCTGGCTATTGCTTAGTGGGTTGTTGGATCTAGCTCCTACTACAAGTGTCCAAATGCATCCATTTTGCCAGCAATTTTTTCTCACTTCATCAGCTGGAAGTCCACAGTCTCGCAGGAGTCTCTACTTCTCTGACAACTCTGATGCTAATGGAACCAGTTTAATTTGTGCTATGCTGTTTCAGTTTCTCTCCTGTCACAGAATGCTCCATTTCTGATCTTCACAGACATCTTAGGTATAAAGGATATCCTGTACTATATGGTTCTTACTCCTTGATGATGCTGAGATCCTCATTTTCTTCCTCTGGGTCTACTCACTATAAGCAGGACAGTAAAACTGATGGATCTCCCTGTAAGTGTTCTACATCCTATTTACACGATACTATTTAAAGCTGCCACTTAGCTTATTTGCATTTTTACCAGGCTATCAAATCCCCTTGGTAGGCCATAAAAATGTCACGTTTACATAGTCTTAAAAAGTACAGCTGGAGTTCCCCTTGGAGGAAAGATGGGAAGGTTCAACTTTTGGTCATGTAGCTAGGCAAGGCTATTCATTAGAAAAGGGTATCATGCTTCGAAAAATGGAGGGTCAGTGAAGGAGAGGAAGGCCTCTAACCACATGGATTGAGATGGTAATGTCAGCAACGGGCTTAAGTGTGTCAAAGATGATGAGGACGGCACGGGATAGGGCAGAGTATAGGTTGGCTGTTCATAGGGTAGTTATGAGTCATTACTGACTTGATGACACCTAAAAACAACCACCACTAGTGATACTGCTAGGAGAGGCTATTCCTTAGATAGGAACATTATACTTGGGGAAAGGGAGAGTCAGCAAAGGAGAGGAAGACCCTCAAAGAGATGGATTGACAGCATGTCTGTGACAATGGACTCAAAGGTATCAAAAAGAGTAAGGATAGGACATGATAGGACAAAGTTCAGATCTGTGTTCATAGAGTTACTTGGAATCATACTTGGCAACATTTAACAACAACAATCAGCTCTGTGGTAAAATTAGCCAGTGGTACAAGCACAGAAAATCATGAAAAAGAACAACATCAAATAAATCACTGTAACATATGTTTTTATTTTTGCCCTTTTCATCATTTCTATCTTTATCAGTTTTCTATTTCTTTAAATATAATTTTTAGTATTTGTTGATAAGATGCTTAGCACCAGGCACAGTTTCATGGGGTTCAGATAAATAAACAAAAAGCTTATTTTGATTAATTACTAGCTGTTTAATAATAATAGATTCAATTGAAAAATGCAATTGTGCCAGTTTTCTCTTGCATAGGTCATACTATTACTAGATAAGTTACTACACAATAAGTGATTATTAAAGATTAGCTTTAAATAATTGCTCTACTTCTATTCTTCATATAGTTATACACACACACACACACACACACACACACATAAAAATACTCCTATAGTGATTTCGTTGAATTTTCTATCATCCTTGTAACTTTACTAATAGCATACTATTCTTCCTTCGTTGTTTGATTTACAAAGAAGTATGATCTTCCCAGAAAGACAATTGAATGTATATGTGTGTGTGTGCATACACACACACACATACATATATATACATACATACGTGTGTATGTTGCTGTTGTTGTTATGTGCCATCGAGTCCCTTGCTACTCATAGCGACTCTGTGTGCAAGAGCCCTAAATGCCGTTCTATCCTGTGCCAACCTCGCAGTCTCAAACACACTCATTCCTGTCATTCCACTCACATAATCGATCCATCTCATCGAGGGTATTCCTTTCCTGCACCATCCCTCCACTCTCCCAAACATTGATGTTCCTCTTCAAGGATCAGTCCCTCCTTGCAACATGCCCAAAGTATGTTAGACAAAGCTTCAGAACCTTGACTCCAAGGAGCATTCCGGATTCACCCTCTCCAGACTCTTCTCCTGCACCACAGCTCAAAGGCTTCAATTCTCTTTCTGTCATCCCTAATTGTGAAGATGATAGCCTGTATCAGGCACACCTTAGTCTCCAGCCTAACATCGTTGCTCTTCAGTACTCTTGATAGGTCCCTCACAGCTGACTTTCCCAATGCAATTCATCTCTTGATTTCCTGGCTGCTGTTACCAAGAGTGTTGACTGTGGAGCCAAGTAAACTAAAACTGTTAACAAATGTCCTCTCCCTCTTTCTGTTATTTTATTCTGAGATCTCATTTTGCATAGTGAATTTATGATATGAAGATTAGCTTCCTCCTGAGAAGTCTCTGAAGACCAAACACACATAATCCTGCGTGAAATGCCCTCCCGCTTGTTTATCAGTGTGTTTGTTCCCACTCAAGTTCACAAAGTCAAAACCAATATTTAATATATGATCATCTGATTTACTGAGGGGTATCACAAAAGCAGTTAAAACTAGAGAAATTATTTTTTTTTCTTTCTAGAAAATGAGCCCCAGTGGGGCTAGCTGTACCAAAAAATGGTGATAAATCTTGTAAGTTCATTTTCTGTCTAGTAAATAAAGACTGTGATTGAGTTGTATGCCTTTTTTGGTATCACATTGTATTTCTGTTCAAATTGAACACAACCACATGTTGTTCTTCTGAGTTATTGATTAAAAGTATTTTTTAAAAAATTATGATTTTTAATATTATCATGCTAATAAAGTAAAACAATCCAGACTTTGTCTAGGTTTCTATCATTTTTCTACCCAAAGCATATTGACAAACTGAAAATTCCTCCTGAGGAGATGAAAGAAATGGAACAGAAGCTTATTACAGACCTCCAGGAATATGTAGAGCCAGGAGAATTCCCAGCTTCCCCCCAGAGAAGAAACACCATGTCCCAGGAAGACCGAGACGAGAGTGTGGTTTTACCTCTGGGCGCGGATACACTCACGCATAACTTGGGCATTCCAGTCCTGGTTGTTTGCACAGTGTGATGCCATTAGTGTATTGGAGAAAGAACATGACTACAGGGATGAACATTTTTATTTCATTCAGTCCCATATCCGGAAGTTTTGTTTACAGTATGGTGCAGCACTTATTTACACTTCAGTAAAGGAAAACAAAAATATAGATTTAATATATAAATACATTGTCCAGAAACTATATGGATTTCCCTATAAGATTCCTGCTCTTGTTGTGGAAAAAGATGCTGTATTTATTCCGGCAGGGTGGGATAACGATAAGAAAATAGGAATATTACATGAAAATTTCCAGTCCTTAAAAATAGGAGATAATTTTGAAGATATCATAACGAAACCACCTGTCCGAAAGTTTGTGCATGAGAAGGAGACTGTGGCGGAAGATGACCAGGTGTTTCTTATGAAGCTTCAGTCCCTCTTAGCAAAACAGCCACCAACTACTGCTGGAAGGCCTGTGGATGCCTCGCCCAGAGTTCCAGGAGGCTCCCCCCGGACGCCAAGCCGGTCCGTGTCTTCCAATGTTGCCAGCGTGTCACCCATCCCTGCGGGGTCAAAAAAAAAATTGATCCAAATATGAAAGCTGGAGCCACAAGTGAAGGGGTCCTGGCAAATTTTTTCAATAGCTTGCTGAGTAAAAAGACTGGCACTCCAGGAGGCCCTGGGGGAGGGAGTCCTGGAGGTGGGGCTGGAGCTGGAAGTAGTGGCTTACCTCGGTCCTCCAAAAAGTCAGGCAAGAAGCCTGTCCTGTCAGACGTTCATGCAGAACTGCACAGAATTGCATGGAAACCAGTTACTGTTTCTCCTACAACACCCACATCCCCAACGGAAGGAGAAGCTTCATCAAGATACCAAATAAAGCCATTAAATTTTGGGGGATAATGTAAAAAAAATATTCTAAGACAATATGTTGTTGGGAAGAAAACCCCAACAACATAATTTCAATTGGAAAACATTAATTAACAGGCTTCATTTATAGAAAATATTGGTCTATTAGGTACTTATTTGAGTATTTCTTCATAGTAGAATCTGTTCTATACATCTTACACACACCATGAACAGTAACCTTGAAAAATCCCTATGTTATTTCTCATGGTAGATGAAAATTCAACCAGTGAATAGAAATACAGATAAATTAGCTCTTGCTTGAATCCACAATCAACACTCTTAATACCAGCACTCAAGAGATCAGGAGACGTATAGCATTGGGCAAGACAACTGTCTGGGACTTTCAAAAGTCCCAAAGTGCAACGATGTCATCTTAAAGACTAAGGTGTACCTGCTTCAAGATGCAGTCTTTTCAATCATCTGCTATCCATCTAAAACTTGGGCAATAAATAAAGATGACAAGAGAAGAATTGATGC